GATGATTCAGATTTACAGGGTCAAACTATATGAATTAAATACCTTGACCTTTTCTGCTTGGTCAGAATAGTTGCTCTATACTGTAGATCAAATCAAATATGCAATCTGTAGACCAAGAAGCTCTGTGTCAGAGTGCAGCACATTACAGTCCAGCACAGCAAGCGCCTGCATGCATCAGTGAAATCCCACACACTATGTGCCATTTATTCTGACTGCATTCCCCCTGTTCTCATTCACCTGTCTTGTCTTCTCACTTACCTGTCATCCACTTTTAATCTCTCTGTCTTTTATTTTTATTTTCACTTGCTTTTTCTTTTCCCTCTCTCCAATATCTTCTCCTTTTTTTTCTCTTATGCATTTTTACCCCCCCGTCCATCCATCTTCGCTCTCCACTCATCCATCTTTCCACATCATGCCTCTCGCGCTCAGTTTCATTAAGGCCCACAGTAGAAAATGTGAATCACACATTTAATAATGCATCCTGATTACAGTTTTACAAGTAGGCTCTCACATACAGACAGTGTATAACAACCTCATTTGTCTGCCCAACATAACAACTACTGACAGTGATTTGGTTGGAAAAAACAAATACACATCGATGGTAAAGCATAATAATGAATCTTTAAGTTTTTCGTTTCACATATCTCTATGGGTCTTAAATCGAATGTTTCACATGCCTGAACATGACAACTTAGTGGTGGTGTAGGAAATATCATTAAAAACATATTAAGAGTAGCTGAGCAGTCACCGTGCACACTGCTGTAACAACCAAGCGGACCAAAACTGACATGCGGCTGGATTAAAATTTGCAAAACGCTGGATTTGTCTCATGGATGCCGAGTTTGACACGTGTTCTGCACAGTCTTCAGTAATACATACAGGCTTTGATTCGTGAGCACCTACTCCTTACCATCGCTTCAGTGTAGGCTGCAGGGGGTAATTGGGGAGACTCCTTTAAGCTGACTCAGTTCAGTTCATTGTTATTGTGAATTGTGGCAAGTGGCAAAAGTGACTCCTCGATTGGTGGCACATGCTGAAGTTGTGTCATTTTTTTCTTATTGTGCATCTCCTGATTTTTGTAACCTTGTGTGAGGCAAGCAGGTTGGACTCAGAGATATGTCTGTGCAGGGGCAGCACAGGGGAAGATTGCTGTTGAAAAAGATGTGATGTTCGGCAGAAACCTCCAAGAACACTTTGTTCCTGTTTCAGTGTTATAATAGTCTTCATCTGAACCCATCCAGTGTCTCTGAGACCATTTTGTTTTGTAGTTTAGCACTGCCTGCAAAACTGTAGTTTGGGGGCTTTTTAACACAACCACTCCTTTGGGGACAAAGATTGTTAATCATCAGTATGTGCAAAACTGTAATGAACTAATTACTTTACACCAATTTGTGAAATTAAAATTTAAAGTATACAAAGTAAGTATCAAAAAGTATTTTAAGGTAGTATTAAAAATATCATCGAGTTAAAGGAGCCAAAATCTTATCATTGAACAGTTGTTAAAATTGTTCATGCTCTTCAACTACTAGAAGATTGTGTTTCTTGTATGATTAACAGGCATATTAGTAATATAGTGGACGTTTTGATTTGACACAATAGAGAAAGAACAAATGTATTAACGACTGCTCCGTTTAATTAGGTGACCCAGTGAGCCATGACAGTGAAAAAACAAAGTGAGTGCTCCCCAAAGGGAAAGACAATGTGACAAGTCCAAATTTGTTGAGTAAAAAGTTGAGAGAGATCAGCAAAAATATGAATTCTAATAATTGATCATTCAAATAGCGTATTTAAACAATTAGAGATGAAGCCAGTGGTTTTGACAGTGGCACTGCCACTTGAATGAAATTATGAAATCCTTTTGATAATTCTTTACCAGAATTATCATAGAAGTATGTAAAAGAAACAAAAACAACTGAAGTGGAAAAGTGCATGAACAATAACCTTTGTGCCACAGCCAACACTGTTACCTTAGTAACAGCTCCCAACCACAACCCACCACAACCGGTTGCAGCAGATGGCTCCGCCCCTCCCTGAGCCTGGTTCTGCTGGAGGTTTCTTCCTGTTAAAAGGGAGTTTTTCCTTCCCACTGTCGCCAAAGTGCTTGCTCATAGAGGGTCATATGATTGTTGCGTTTTCTCTGTATGTATTATTGTAGGATCTACCTTGAAATATAAAGCGCCTTGAGTCGACTGTTGTTGTGATTTGGGGCTATATAAATACAACTGAATTGGACTGAATTACATTGAATTAAATTGAATTGAATTGAATAGTAGGCCTCAGATTAAAATATCAACAACATACAATTCAAGGGAATGATACAAACAGTATAAACACTAAATGTATATTTTGATCATTAAAAGGCTGGTGAAAAATTCAAGCATGAAGAGAAAGATTTGAACCATTGAGCTCTACACTGAAGAAATCACTTTGGCTGGGAACCCTTTGCTGTAGTCTTTTCATGAGAGGGAAGGCTCACTGCAGATCCAAGCTGTTCTGTGTGATCGCTTTGTTTTCATGTGGTCTTTTCCAGGGTGATTAGGAAAGTGAACACCTATGGGAGATTTGGCTAATGTGTTATGTGGGATTGATTGTCCTGCATAGGGAACCACAGAGAGGCGGGATTGCTGGAACTGACAAGGGTACAGAAGCATCCTTTCTTTCCACATGTAGTCTGATGGTAGTGATGTTTAGTGTAGGTAGAATGCTGATTTGTGGAAAAGTTGGCTTAAACAGGAAAAGGAACGACAGTGAGAGGAGAAAAAGGTGACATGCTAACACTTAGGGTGTTTTCACACCTGTGCTGGTTCGTCCCCCTTGGTGCAGTTTGCTTTTGCAGATTTTCATCTATTCATCTCTGTGTTCAATCAGCGCTTTGTGCCATTTTGTGTCTCCATCAGTTTGCCCTCCTTTTATTCTTGGTTTCCTGTTTTTTTGGGCCAGCCTTTCGGGCTTTTCTTAGCAGCGTAATTAAAGCTTGCTTTTTGTTGCTAGACCTGACTCATTTTGACACACACACACACATAACATCCCCTTTCTTTATAACCATACCATTTCCAGTGATGGTTTCATAAAAGTCATGCAGTCAGAACTATGATGCAGGATTTTATTTCTGTGTGGGGAAAAATCTTTTTGGGCTGGTCTGCATTATAATCCTACCCTGTATATATAATACTGACAGCAGCAAAACCCACAAAAGCAAAATTACCTCACGTGTCACATTCACTGGTTGTGAGCCACCTCCAGGTCTGTCTTTTTGTTGGCACCACTGTCTCCAAACCATTCATCATACCAGGTCTCACGATTCACTTTTGCTGCTCTCCTTATGCCACAAATCACCCTGGAGGGTGATCCTGAAGACCAGCAGCACCGGATCTGCACGAGAATTTAATTCTTTATGATGTGCACAGATTTTAGGGTGAATGATCCTTCCTGAAGCGAACCTCCCCATTCCCGTTTTGGGACCAGCAGTAGGAATAAACTGGCTTGTGGCCTTCCCGTGGCTGGGTTTGAGTGTTTGCACCATTTAATGAGCTGCCACCACCAGAAAAATACTACAAGATTGCTTCACAACTCATTTGTTGCACCAAAGTTATTCTGCACTTTTCATTTTATTGGCCTCTGATTCTTTTAAATATGTTGAGCAATATTTGAGGTTTATTTTGATGTAGGTACGTGAAAACTGTATCAAATTCATCATATCTTTAGCTTAATGACAAAAACTTGTGGTTTAAAAAGTGATTTTTTTTAAGGTGTTTAAAAAAAGTTTTGAGAGCAGGTCAATAAGAATAAAAGGAAAAAACTCTCACCTATAATCTGCCAGTTTCAAATACTGTCTGCATTAGAATTATTTTTTCTATATACTATATGTTATATTTATGCATGTGAATAATACTGACATAAATATGGATTAAAACAAATATGTATCAATGAAATATTTAACAATATTTACATTTTTTCTCCTAGCCACTTAAAATGCTCAAGGTTGATGAGTCAACGAAGCACCACTCAACGCTGTGACTAAATAATCTGTGCATGCTCATGCTCTTTTCTTTATGTTAGAGCTCTGACCTCAGTTCAGAATGCTTGAGGTAGAGAAGAAGAGCATGATGTGGAAATAAGGGAGAAAAGAACTGTGGTGGAGGAGGCAGGTGAAAAACAGAAAAAGATCTGTGGTACAAGATAGAAAGAATAAGATGGAACAGTGTTTTTCTCCTTCCACTCAGCCCTGTGTGGTTCTACATGTGTGCTCACTCGTGTTGTTCTAGTCCTGTGGTGTTGACTGACTGATTTTCTTTTCCAATTATATATTGACTAGATCGAAATCACAGTCTATAAATCATTCAAGGTTTAGTGGGTTCCACAAATAATACTCTGAATTAATTCTGAATTATGTTTTTGATGATCTCTCCCAAATGCAGGTTGTCCTTTTAAAATGTGATGCAGGCATGGCCAAAAAACGTATGCATTTTCACGTCAACATGTGGGATACTTTTTTTTCTTTTAAATGTTTTGAGCTAGGGCACTGCTTCCACTGAAACTCCTCACTGATACTAGTTCTTATCACCAGCGATGATTCTCCACACTCTTTGAAAATGAAGCTTTTGTCTCTGCTCTATGGCCAAGTTTAATGTCTGGGGTGAAGTATTGAGAATGGGACTGCTGGGGAGCAGCAGCAGTTCCTGCTTAGGTAGCTGTCCCCACCACCTACAAATAAGCAGAAGATGGGTGGATAGACTAGCATAGTGCCACTAGAGAAGCTGAAGATGAACTCAGGACATTTTAGCTTGCTCTTGAACTAAGATTTGATCTTATGTCTCCCACAGATGCACTCCCTGCGCCTCCTCAGCCAGAATGAGCCCTACAAGATATTCCTTAGTATGAGCGACAACACCCGGCCCACCCAGCCTTTGCTTCAACGCTGCATCCGTACCAATATCAACTTTAGTAAGCAGGGCCGTGACTGCCCCAACAACCGCGCCCTTCGTCCACAATACAGAGGTAACTCACAGAGTACAGAAAGAGGGAGCAGTGGTTTTGTTTCTGCATGAAGAAAATGCCAAGTATGAGTGTGCTTCTCCTTTTCAGCCTCTTAAGCTAATCAAGGCAGCTATTACAAGCTTGTGCCAAGACTGGGGATATATTTAGGTCGCTTAGGTCATTGAAGCTCATCAGGCCCCACTCATTCCCTTTTCTGGGAAACCTTTTAAACCTGTGGATCATGGGTAGTAATAGAGGGATAATATTTCACAACAGATATTAAGTTATTGCTGTGACATTTATAAAGTTACACATAGATAATCTAGACACATTTCAGCCAGTGTAGTGTACTGAAATGAAGAATAACCTACTATAAAAACAGCGTACTATATAAACAACATACTATAAAAGCAGCAATGATGGCTTAATTTGTTATAAGCTTAAACATCATGATAAAAAATGAGGATCTGCATGATTTCTGTGGTCGTTGGTGCTTTTCACAGGGGGATACATTAATTAATGTAGTGAAAACAATCCCATTAAATGTGATAATTAGTTACATGATAAAGTGGTGGCACAACAAATTACAACAAGGTGTTGTACTGTAGCAAAATAGCTAAGACAGCAGTGCACCTGCACTTTTTTATTCTTATTATCTGAGTCCAAAGCACACATGCAGTGCATAATATGCGCTGGTCTGTTTATACACATTAGTTTGAGAAAGTCAGGCAGTGCTTTGTGAGAATATAAACAATAGGTAAAAAAACAGGAGCAAAAAGAAAGGACATCAAAATTAATGTGTATGTGTGAAAAAGTGCAAATGTGTTGTCTTTACCAATGTAACACTGGAAGCGTTAAATTAAATTAGAACTGGTCCAACCAAGAAATATACACCAAACTTGGAAGTGTGTCCTTGGATGCTTCAGGAATAATAACAGCTGACAGCTTCTCTTTTTTATGAATCCAGTGAAGTTCACGATATCCTCCACAACTAAAACCAATGTCATGTTCTCTACTACCCCTTTGATATTGGCCTGTTGGAATATAGAACCGAAACACTCAAGGTCAAAGAGTAAAAAAACACAAAACAGTAGACCAGCAGACTGAATAAGCACATATAGTGAAATGACAGGTGGGATATGATCACATTCATTTAACTTTTATAAGTATTTTTTTTTCATTTACGTTGAATGTCAGAAGTTTCCTTTGAACAAGTCTGGCCCCCCTTTTTTGTCAAAACGTGATCAACTCCCAAACTACATGTAAACCAAAGCATCTCTGAAATGAGGTCAAATAATGGGCGTCAGTCTCCAAGAGAAAATCCTGAAAGTATTTTCTATCAGATTAAATGGGTTCCATCTTGAATTTGACATCATCTTAACTGTGAATCGTGTGGGTATTTGATTTTTCCCTAATCACTCCCTAGAGGAGCTTTTAGAAATTCCAACAGTGTTAGTCCAACCAATGGAAGCGATTGGATTGTTGAGATACCTTTGGGGAGATGGGTGCTCAAAAATAAAAAGAGGAGGACAAATGAAGCTTTTATAGTGGATTAAATCTTTGTTGAATTCATGGTTATATTCACAGCAGCTTTCTGTCGGTCATTTTTTAAGAAATGTCTGTAATGTCTCTGCGATTTATCAAGAATAAACTTTCTTGATTGCCCAGTAAAGAAGCGCTGACAACCTTTCCTCTCCAGCAAATGCTGTCAGATGGGATTTTTCTCCACACTTTAGTCTGACAAAAGATGGACACCAGAAATTCTCCATGTCTAATCATCTGCCTGCCTTTTCTTTTCAGTGTTACAGAACTGGGCTTCACAGTTAGGAATTCCTGTGTTAGAGGTCTGTTTCCCAGTTCTCCGGGCCCATCTGGCCATGTGGAAGGATTATAAGATTTCCCAGATGGAATTCTGCTCTCCTTTAATTAATTTTGTCCAAAAGAAAGATGGTACGCTTCAGTGCTTTAATGCTCTCACAAAGTAGAGAAAATATGATCAACAGTAGCCTCAGCAAAATTCAACTGGCAATTTTATACGCTGCAGCCAGGTCCTTGTCTTTCTCTGGCAATGCATTTGAAGCAATTGAAGTCCCTTGGACTGTTTAGGTGATCTCCAGAAACCAGAAACACTCAGAATGGCTGCTCTTTGTTTTGGGGGTATGTGGGAATATAGTATTTTTTTAGACTTGCCAGGTTGCCAGTAATTGCTATCAAACAAGACAAAATATCTCAGTTTCTGTGCTTTTTTTTTTTCAACTCAAGGTTAAACTTCAAAAACGGTCTCCAATGATCTTTTATTAAATGCGTTCCACTTCCACTGTGTGAGACTGAGGCACTTGGCTCCTAAATTTTTAGTGAACCACTTCTCCACCAGTTTACCCCTAGTGTTTTCCAGCTGTGGTGGCTCCTGTATTTTTCATCATCATCATCACAAAACAAATACAAAACAAAAAACAAATGCGTAAATGAAAAAAAAAAGGTTTTAGTACACTATCACTTCTTCTAAGTGTTCTTCTGCTTGCCACAGAAATGCCAGTACTACCAGGATCAAGTATTATCACATTATTAGGATAAATTGCTTTGTGTTAGAGGACAGGGCTGCATCAGTGAAGTGCTGTAGTGAAGAAGGCTCACTCTGGCTTTAGTGACCTTTGGTTCCTTACAAACTTTTTCCTCTCAAGCATCAGACATGCATCAGTGTTATTTTCTAGTCTGAATCTGGTTTTCTGGTAATGGTTGTTTACGTGGATGTCCCTTTTGGTTGAAAAGTGAAATGTCAAAAATGGTCTTTTTCAAGCCATTATAACCTAATTTCCGCAGAATTTTAACTTTAATCGTTGAACTAAATTGCAACACAGTTCAGATCTCTAACAAGGTCATCATAAAAGCCTTTTTTTCCACAAACTTTTGTTCAGTGGGGTTTTTTGTCTTCTTTTTTGCTTTGCAGCTTTCATTTCTACTCTTTATTTGAAAAGCACTTATAATTTACTACAACATCTTTTTTCTTTTTTGATAAATCAACTAATGCATAATTCAGACTTTTTTCAATGTGAACAACTGTTCATGTGTTATTCTTATTTGGTCAGGGACCCAGTGTCACTCTAAAGCTATTTTTACATTTTTTTTAAAGCTTATCATATTTGATACATGTGTTTTTGTGAGTTTTTGAGACTTCTATATCATCAGCATGACCTTTTTTTTACCCTCAAAAAATGATATAAATTGCATGACACATTTTTAATGACTAAATTGCAAAAATATGGCTAATGTAGAAAATTTGATACAAATTAAAACTCATATATGCAGATTAGAATTTGATATATTTTATATATATATATTGTCTAAAGGTTCAACAAACAGTCTATTGTCAAAAAATTAAAGATTTCTGGCAATTATTTGATGGTTTAGGTTTTAAAGGATTAACCTCTGCACTCTGAGATACTTTTGCTTTGAGTGACCTGAAATGAAAGTAAATGAAATATTATTATTAAGAGGAAATAAGTTGCATCTAAACATGCTAAGAGACACAGCACCAGCAGTTTGGTAATCCCTATTAGATACACAGCTCTGGGACTCCACATACTGACACTGAAGCTGACTTTCTAAAATTCAAAAGCACGGGGCAAGTCATCTAGGAACTCATGCTCAAGCTTTCCCACCTCAAACAGCCTTCATGTTAAAGAATTAATCCAAAACAAAACTGACAATCTAAAATTTTAGATTCGTCAAAAGGCAAACTCGAATTCAAAAAAAGGAACATTATACCTACAACATAGATGTGGCTTTATTGATTAGTTGCATGATTCTGGTCTCACACAGAAGACCTTGAAGTCATAATCTGAATTATTCAGACAGTCAGCAGTTTACAAGCAGACTTTCCAGGCGTTGGTTGCATTAGGTGTGAATGTTAAAAAACACTTAGAAAAAAGTGCTTGGCTGAACGAGCCATGTTGTATAAAGTGCTTTGAGTGCTTATGTAGAAAAGTGCTTGAAAAGTTGTTGCTGGTTGGCAGATTTCATTGACATACCAACATCTCTGACAGGAAAATCCATGCAAGCCTCTGCCTTTAGGTTTGTCCCTTTAGTGTTAAGTCCAACTCTGAATGGCTCAAAAGGAATAAAATATAAATTTTGCAGTGGAATAGTCATGGCGCTGAGATGCTGTGGTGGGACCTGAAAAGAACAGTTCACGTTTGCAAACCCATCAGTAAGGTTT